CACAGAACTTGCAATGTAGATTGCATTTTATCTACCCATCAAATATACTGTCAATTAGTCTTAAAGTATATTGCATTTTGTCCCATTTATCCATTCAGAATTATTTCCTCAGAATGTGGTAAAAGACTAAAGAACATTTTGGGTTATGGTCTAATTTTTCTAAGAAAACAATATTGATGTTATAAAAGTTATATGAGAATATTTTTGCTTGTCTTAATTGATGATGTGAGGAAGATGTGGTTCCTTTAAAAGCGTACTTAAAGAATCTTGTTTCAATTGAGGAAAATTATCTAGGTCTGACACTCCCATAATAGTTTACCATATGAGTGAGGGATTACAATCAGGTGCTGGAGGAGAAGACCTGAGTCATAGCATCAGTCTCCACAGTAATGTTATGTCTTAAATTCATCCCAAAGTACTCTATTTGGTGTTGGTCAATCTCTTCACACTCTGCTGCCTTTACTCATTCATTGTTCCATTGAGAATTCCTTGTGGATATGAATAAGACAGAAATGAATTTAAATTCTACAAGGTGAAATGATCACTACTCACTAACTTTAGGGCAAACATAAAATTTGTGACAAACATAAACTGACAAAAAAAAAAAAGATTTAGTGTACTTACTTTTATCATTAACAAACTAGAATAGTTTAGCCTTTCATCACCTTTATATGTTTATATGCATCACTTTTAATCATTTTGTATGGAATACTTTTTGGTCCATCATGAAATAGGGACATTAAGACGATGTGGCTAATTCTGTTTCAGGAAAGTCATTCTAATTGTATAATAATTTGTTCCTCCTGCTTTTAGAATAGTTTATTTTTATCCTTGTCATTGTTCTTTCTTTACCTTTTAAGATCCAACCTATGTTAGTATGCGTGTATATCAATAAAGAAACATTAAAAATAATTATCGAAAGTTAATTATACTTACTAAATATTTGCCATATGTTGAGTGCTGTGTGAATCATGTTTCTTCTACGTGAGGCTTCTGGAAAAGCCAAAATGGTCCACTAATTCTAGAAAAACCACACAGTACATTTTGTGTGCTAATTTATTTGCTTACTTTAGCTAATTTTATACTTTCACCCTCATTTGCTGACATATAAAATTTTATTTTAGTTTATTTTTGTCATAAGGTATATTTCTATAAGCCATTTTAAATCCAGTTGAAATAAAACTGTATATAAATAAATAAGACTATAACATTCTTTTATTCCCAAGTAATACATTTGTACAAAAATTCCAAAATCATAGAACCTTGAAATGAATTGACACAACAAACAATATTTCCAGCAGAAAAATAACTATTACGATAAAACTTTAATTAGCTAGAACCTATGATTAGCTAGCATTCATTAAAGACTACTTGAATACACACAAATCCTACACACATTTAAATGGCCATGTGCCTTTTGTTTAGGAGAATGTTTCTGCAAGGTTATTTACTATAAAGAAAAACATACACATGGATATAAGCAACTGTAATGACATTTATATGTAATTGAGCACATAGGAAATGTACATAGAGAGATCAGGCAGTTAAACCCTTTTTGAAATAAGGGAATGACATCTGTATTATGGAAAACACCAGATTCATTGTCTGCCAAAAGGCTCCCCACACTCTCCTAGTTTCCTGCTTTGTGATTCCGTGACAAAATTATAGCACAGCAATAATGGGATGGCAGTGAAAAGCATAAAGGCTTTCTCAGGAAAAGAGGACATACTACTTTGTGATAACAAATGCTTATTCCATTTATGATTTGTCAAGTGACATTGGTGTGAAAAAACTGTGACAAATATCTACATCTCCCAAAACTATTCAAAATATGTCAAACATTTATTAAATATTTAGTAGCATGTTAAGTGAATGCTGTCAAATGTTCAACCAAAATTTAATAACAGTTTATTCAACACATAAAAATGTTGCCTTACCTCTACTATGAGCAGGAATAACTTCAACCCGTATTAATTTCATAACTGAACGTTATTTGTATGGGTTTTAGAGTCATATAAGCTTTAGGAAATTATACTTTGTAAGGTTCTATTGCTTTATCTAATATCTGATGATATTTGATACTTCTTCATAAGGCTTTCACAAATCCTGATAGTTTGCATTTTTAAGTGAGCTTAAATAAAACACTATATACAACAAATGATTTACACATTCTCAAGGACAATATAACTATGTGTTTTTTAAATTTAATTTTTATTTATGATTGATGCATAATACCTGTATATACTGATGGCGTAAAATGTGATGTTTCCATGTGTGTATACATAGTATAATGAACAAATCAGGGCAATTTCCATATAAAACACTTTAAACATTTAGGTGTTTTTTTTTTTTTTCAGAAGCAATGTTTATTTATTTATTTTCAGCATATTATGGGGGTACAAATATTTAAGTTAAAAAAAATCTTCTCTTCTAGGTATCTTGAAATATACAATAAATTGTAATTTGCTACGATCCATTTACTGTGCAACAAAACACCAAAATTATTCTTAAGATGTCTTTGCACATGGAAAGCTTTAAGACTTCTAGTAGAAACATAATTCACAGAAGAAATATTGGATAATTTTATAAACTAACAAAATTACATTAGAATATTTTTATGGATTAATGATAATATATGCCTACTCAAATAAATAAGTATTCCTACTGAAATAATTTCACAAAAACAGGAAATGATGGCAGAGGGAATAAATTACACTGAATATACACAAACTCAGTGGAAAGGTGAAAGAGATATTTCCTAAAATTTAATATATAAATTTAAATTTTATCAAAATAGTATTAACATGAAAATAGAATGTTTGCAAATAATTTAATTTTCATATGTTTGTATAGTTTCCAAAATTCCTCTTGATATTGATTTCTAGTTTTTATTCCATTGTAGTCAGAGAAAATAGTTGATACACTTTCATATTGTTTGAATTTTTCAAGATTTATTTTGTGGCCTAACATATGGTCTACCCTTGAGAATGATCCATGAGCTGAAAATATGTCCTTCAGGATAACCATATGTCAAGAATTCTGTATAAGCATTCACGCATTAGGAAGAAAATCATATGGAAAAAGTTAAAATATTTTTTTCTTTATAATTCTGAAAGTTACTATACTTAACAACTATTTATAAGTGTCATATTTTGGTAGCAACCATGTGGTTGTCAGAATAATTCCTCCCCCTAACACGCTCACATTCTAATACTCAGAACCTGTGAATATGTTGGATAATACGGCAAAGAGGTAGGAAAGTTAAAGACGGAACACTAATCAGCAGACCTTAAAATGGAGAGATGAGCATGGATTTTCCAGGCCTGCCCAATATAATCACAAAGGTCCTAAAAAGTAGAAGAGGGAAGTAGAAAGAAATCAGAGAAAGAAATGCGAAGATGGAAGAGGAGTAAGAATGAGGGACTAGAAGGATATGGTCTGTCATTGCAGGCTTTGAAGAGAGGGGGAGGGGCCATAAACCCACCAGTGCAGGCAAACTCTAGAAGCTGAAAATGACAAAAGCTCCGTGTAAAAGAGATCAAAGTTGCCAATGGAATTAAGGTTGCTAATCAGCTGACATTAAACCGATTAAGTGTGCTCAATTTAATCACAGGGCCCTCATAAAATGTAGTTCTCTTCTCTTTCTCTCAAAATAGAGAGAGAAGAGAAGCAAAGATCAGAAAGTAGAAAAGATGATATGCTGCTGGCTTTGGCTTTGGGAATACATTCTGAGGGAATTCTCAAGACCATGGACAGCTTCAAGCCCCATGTGGAAAAATAAAAGAAAAAAACAACTTGCAAACAGACATAAAAACTACCATGGATATTAGATAGTTCTTTAATACATTGAGGTTTGTGTAGACTCAGTATCAGTGACATGATGCTACATGTATTTCTGTTTCTATGACAATAAGCATGTCACTGATTATTGAGTTGAAATGATGCATAAAAAGAAATATTATGAAATTAAAATATTATAACAGCTTGTTGGCCAGACATTAGAAGAATAAACACCATACTCATTTGATTATAAATGGATAATAGGAGTGTTAAAAGTATATCCTTTGAGAAAATTATGTAATTTATCTACAAAGCATTTACTGTGCATAGTGAAGAGAACAATTTGCTAAAGGACTATAGCATTACAAACTATTTTCATATGTAGTTCAGCAAGAAGCCAATAATTTGCAAAATATACCAGGTGAAAAGAAAGGATTTTGTAGCAATGAATGCAAATATAATTAATTTTCAACACTATTCAAGCAAACCAAACATCTTAGCAGAAGCAGCAAAAGAAGTAGAGCAGGGACAACCCTGAACTCTTTGGTTATAACTGAAAGCCTTTGGGACTCCCTCTTGATCTTCCACTTTCTTTTACATAGCACTGCCACCATTATTTACTCATTTACTCCCTATAAAGTTTACTGGTTGTCTCTTCCTGCTAGGATATGAGCTCCCTTAAGGTTAGCAAATTTTGTCTATTTAGGTAGCTAATAGATCACAAAATGCCTACAACAGATTCTGATTAATACCAATTTCTCAAAAAATATTTTATGTAGATTGAAAGAAAATATAGTAGGCCAGGGGCATTTAAAATTGACTATGGAGCAGTCAATACAAAATGTCACTAATATTCTATTTTGTATTCAATACAAAATATTCTAAGAAGCCCAGTAGATTTCCTGAAACCTATGAAAATACAAAACCTTATAAACAGTTTTTTCCTATACATACAAGCCTATAATAAAGTTTAATTTATGAATTAGGCACAATAAGAGATTAATAAAAATAATTATAAAATAGAATAATTATAACAGTATACTGTAATAAATTTACATAAATGTATTCTCTCTCTTTCTCTCTAAAAATATCTTATTGTACTGTAAGCACGCCCTCTACTTGTTGTGATGATGCAAGATGAAGGGATGCCCACATAATGAGATGATGTGAAGTCAATGATGTAGGTATTGTGATGTAGTATTAGGCTACTTTTGACCTTCTGAGAATGTTTGTTTCTGGGTCCTGGATCATCAAACCAGGATATGTCAAGGATTGAATGTCCTGAGCTACTGTATCAGTGACTAAGGAGTAAGTAGAATATACAGCATGGGTAAGCTGGCAAAAGGGATGAATCACATCCCAAGTGGGACAGAAAATACAACACAGAATTTCATCAGACTTAGTGTCACAAAATTTAAAACTTATGAACTGTTTATTTCTGGAATTTTCCATTTTATATTTTCAGATCTTGGTTGACTATGGGTAAGGGCATATTATTATAAATGCTTTCTTTATTATTTAAAATTAATACCTGTATTTTATAGAGAAACTAAGATTTATGATATGTAAGTATGAACAGAAATCTGTAGACTTTACTTTAAAAATGTAAATTTTTTTCTTCTCAGACCACAGTGGAATAAAACTAGGAATCAATTCCAACAGGAACTCTCAAAACAAAAGAAATGCATGAAAATTAAACAAAACCTGCTGTTGAAGGCTTTTTGGATCAATGATGAAATCAAGATGGAAATCAAAATATTTTTGGAATGACAAAGATGACACAAGTTACCAAAATCTCTGGGATACAGAAAAAGCAGTGCTAATAGGGAAGTTCATGGTACTAAATGCCTACATCAAAAAGACAGACAGATCACAAATTTCCTGGATATCATTATAAGAAGATATAATAAGAGGTCATAATATCAAAAATACAACTGTACCTAAATGTTTATTGCAACAGAATTCATAATTGCAAAGATAAGGAATCAAGCTAAGAGTCCATCAACTAAGTAATTGACAAAGAAACTGTGATTTTAGACACACACACACACACACACACACACACACACACACGTTGACACCCTGCATGGGATAATATTCAGCCATCAAAAGGAATGAAATATGTCTTTTGTAGCAACTTGGATGGATTTGGAGACTCTTACCCTAAGTGAATTATTTTAGGAATGGAAAAACAAATACCACATGTTCTCACATATAAGTAGGAGCTAAATGTTGGGTATATATGGTCATAAAGTGGTTTAATATACTTCAGATATTAAGAAGGGTGATGTTAGGCAACAATGGCGGGCTAAAAAGAAAAAAAAAGAAAAAAAAAAAAGAAGGGTGATGAGTGGGAAGGGGGTGATGGATCAAAAATTACCTATCAGGTTTGAGGTACACTATTTGAGTGACGAGTATACTAAAAGCCCTGACTTAACCATTGTGCATTTTATCCATGCACCAAAAAACACTTGTACTGCCTAAATCTGGTGAAATAAAAAAAAAAAAAGACAAGCACACTAATGTAATCATACTTTCTACAAGATTCATCATAATCTGTTTTAAAGACATGAAGAGTTTCACAAGGAAGCTGCTTAATGATATGAAGTAATAAACTTGTTATGAAAACACATTTCTTTGCCTATTGGTATCTATAAGAAGTTGGAATATCTCACAATAAAATACAAATGTAAGTATCCTTTCCAAACAAACAAAGAAAACAACAACATTTTTTCTGTGCATTTTATTCTCTTCTTCAAAGTCAAATTACGGGTTTAACTTTTCTTTTACCGATTTTAAGAAGTTATGTATTTCACTTCGGGCCTTAGCATATGGAAGTCCCACTATTGAGACATTTTTTTCTTCAGTGAGATCATTTGGATCCCTCCCTTTTTTAATATGCAGCTGTAAACTCATGTCATAGAGGACTCTACTATAATTTTTTCCTCAGATTACCTATTGTCCACTCAGCAGTTCTCTAGTACTCAAAACATAAAATCTATGTTAAACATGTTTTCTCTAGCAATTATATTGGGGTGTATTTTAGCTCTCTTAATGGACTAAATCTCCTTGAGGGAGCAGGCATATTTGTTATGAAATCCCTTTATTTTTTAGACTCACGGCACATACTATCTACTTTAACATTCATGTCCTGATGATTAGTAATTGGCATTGGCAATTGGATGTGCAAAAGGTTAATGAGGGTTGACTGGCAACATTATTAATATATTTTTCTGACTGCCGAAATGGAGCTGGTATTTTTTTCCCACTTGGAATGAGTTGAAATCAAGGCTCTTTGTTCTTAGCTCTGAGTAATGTCTTAGATCAAGCTTTTCCAATGACTTATAGACAGATAGAAACCAACAAGAGTTAGAGGAACAGTCGCTCTCTCACCTTTGAGTTTAACAGCACTTGCTACATTCTATACCAGATTGTGTTCCCACTATTTATTGAATATATTTGTTAAAATAGGCAGTCTCTTGTGTGTAGTCTACCACATAAGAATGAGCCTTGGGTTAGAACACTTGAATGGGAATATCTTTCCGTTTCAGATTCAGTGTGTGCTCCTTTGTTTCACTTAAGCATTTGTGCCAATGGCCCTAAGGCACACCCCTAGTTTTTTTTTTTATTATTTCTGACTCCATAGGGAGGGATCAAGATCCTTTTATTACAGCAGGAGAGGGGTGTATGTATGTCAATTGCCCTGTGTTCATTATGTGAAAGGGAGATGGGTGTTTACCTGATAGCCCCAGAGGACCCAATGTATACTATCGCAAATGCTTGGTGCCATGTTTTCTTTATGTGGTGCTTGACTGTTGTTTTCAGTTGTGACTCCAATACCAAGATACAGTGGGGAGAAGTGTTTGCATTTCTCTTTATGGTGGTTGGTATAATGATGATCTTGCTGTTTTCTATGTAGTTGAAGTCCACTCCCAACATTTGTAACTGTATATACTGTTCTGTTCCACAGTATTAGAAAGAAAGCTATGCATCAGTATATATGATAAGCATATTTGACAGTTTTTGCAAATAACAGACACATTAACAGTAGTAAGCCAGAGTCCTCTTACTAAGGTATCACTCTCTGATGTTATTCTTTGTAGTGTGTGGATACAATCCAGCCCACATGCAAAAAGTTTCAATTGGTAGAATATGTTCTGATCTGGCAATAGGAAATTGAAATGAACTGCAGATTCTTGACAGCACAAAGGCATTTTTTCATTAGGATGGGAGAGAAGTGAGTATCTGCTCACCAGTGTGTTAAAATTCACATATAGCCAGGCCAACCTGTCACTCTTATTGATTAACTTTAGTTAATGCTTCACCCAGAGGTGATTCCTAATGATTGACCGTTTTATTGTGACAAAACTGGTTACCAAATAAGCAAAAGCAAAAGTCACATATTCCCTTTAAAAATGTATATTTCTTCATGTATTAGGAGCTTACCATATCATACCAATGTGTTATTCCTTTAATATAATTATTATTGAAATCAGCCTGAACTTTTCAAAACTATTACTCAGAATATATGGATTTCCTACTCTTGGGACTAAAACTACAGATTAAAGTCTAAATTAATGTTTACTTTAAAGAAAATATAATTAATGAGTCAAGTCTTAAACAATATGAAACAATATTAATATTAGACAATAGCTGTATTTTTGAAAAGAAGAAAGCAACAATAACTAAAACAATTGACCATATAACTATATATGGGACTGTATAACAGGTCTCATTACAATTAAATTTTATATGTGGAGAGAATGTTATCTATTATTATCTTCTTTTTTAGTGTGTTTTTGTTTGTAGGAAATGTAAATTCAAATGTATAAATCATATATGTTCAAAATACACACCTATGCATTTATATTTATCTATGCATACATACACATACATATAAAGAAATAATATAGTTCATGTAAACTGATATGTCAGATATAATGAGTTATTATATGCTATAGTCATCTTAAACATCTTTTAAATATACTTTGTATTTCTAGAAGTTTTTAGAACACTGTCCACCAAAGACATGAATGCATGTTTGTGAATGACTAAATGGTTGTCAAGTTTGATGAAGTTAAATGACTCCTTTTTCAAGAATTTTACAGATTAACTTTTCTGAAAAGCTTTCCTCAAAACATATTTTAATAATAAATATATCCTTCAATACAAACTTGAAATCACAGAAATTTGTGGGAAATTCCCATGGTCCAAAATTAAAATTATAATTGAAAAATATAAAGATTCTTTTATTCTTTCTGTTATTATGCTTATCAGATATCACATTTTTAACAAAATGAATATTTGTAGCAACTCTTTCTTTGAGTACGTCAATCAGTGCTATTTTTCCAACAGTATGGGCACACTTCTTGTCTTGGTGTCACATTTTAGTAATATTTTCAATGTATCACACTTTTCATTACTGTTATATCTGTTATGGTGATTTGTGATCACTGATCTTTGATGTTATTATTGTAATTGTTTTGTGGTACCACAACCCATGTCCATATAATACAGTGAATTTAATAAAAAAATAGTGTATGCACCAGGGGTGGTGGCTCACGCCTGTAATCCTAGCACTCTGGGAGGCCGAGGTGGGTGGATCACTCAAGGTCAGGAGTTCGAAACCAGCCTGAGCAAGAGTGAGACCCTGCCTCTACTAAAAATAGAAAGAAATTAATTGGCTAACTAAAATATATGGAAAAATTTAGCCGGGCATGGTGGCACATGCCTGTAGTCTCAGCTACTCGGGAGGCTGAGGCAGGAAGATCTCTTCAGCCCAGGAGTTTGAGGTTGCTGTGAGTTAGGCTGATGCCACAGTATTCTAGCGCCCGGGAAACAGAGTGAGACTCTGTCGAGAAAAAAAAAAAAAATAGTGTATGTATTCTGACTGCTGCACTAGCCAGCCATTCCTCTCCCTTCCTAACCCCCTTCTTGAGCAACTCTACTGCCTAAAACACAACAATATTGAAATGAGGCCAATGAATAACTCTATAATGGCCTTTAAGTGCTCAAGTGAAAGCGTTTCTCACTTTAAATAAAAAATTATAAATAATTAAACATATTGAGAAAAGCATATTGAAAGCACAGATGAGCTAAAAGCTAAGCCACTTGGGCTAAAAAGTTAGCAATGTTAGGGATGTAAAGGAAACATTCTTGAAGGAAGTTTAAAATGCTATTCTAGTGAACACGTGAATGATAAGAATGAGAATTAGCTTTATTACTGGTGGTGAGCAAGTTTTAATGGTCTGGATAAAAGATCAGACCAACCATAATATTCCCCTAGTAGACCAGAGCCTAATCAGGACAAGGTCTTAACTCTCTTCAATTCTATGAAATCAAGAGAGGTAAGGAAGCTGCATAGGAAAAGTTTGGACTTAGAAGAAGTTGGTTCATGAGATTAAAGGAAAACAGCTGTCTCTATTATATTAAAGTGCAAGATGAAACAGCAAGTGAAATGCAAAAACATCCAGAATATCTACCTAAGATAATTGATAAAGGTGACTACACTAAAACTACAGATTTTCCATGTAGATGAAGAAGCCTTATATTGGATGGAAATAACATCTATGTCTCTCATAGCTGAAAAAAAAAAAAAAAGAATTTGATGCCTGGTTTCAAAGTTTCAAAGCACATGTTGATTCTTTTGTTTGAAGTTAGTGTAGCTGATGACTTGAAGTTGAAGCCAATACTCATGCCATTTGGAATATCCTATGGCCCTTAAGAATTATGCTAAATCTATTCCACTTGTGCTCTATAAATGGAAAGACAAAACATGGATGAGAGCACATCTACATATAGCATACCTTACTGAATATTTTAAGCCCACTGTTGATAGCTACTTCTCAAAAAAAAAATTCCTTTAAAAATATTACTGCTCATTGGCAATGCACCTGATCACCCAAGAGCTCTGAAGGACCTACAAGAAGATTAATGTTATTTTCATGCC